ATGATGATATTATGTATCACTCGATCTCTTCTGAAAGGTACTATTGATATTAGAGTGAGATGATTACTGACTGAATTCAATTAAATGGAAATTTCGCAGAAAAAACCGTTGAGCCCAATCCCTAACGGATTAAAATGTGAAACATGTCGAATCTTCTCTTTTGTTATAGTCTCAATCCATCACAAGGTCGACAAAGAATGATCTCCAAGCGTCTGCAATGCTTTGTGACAGAGCTTATATACCGCATCACTAGAGAAAAGGTGCGGTTTTTGGAATATCTGAATATCTAATAGTAAGCTTCATGTTTCAAAAAATCAAAATTCGACGGCCCGAAAATTCAAACTCAATGGTGCTAAAAAGACCATTATAGCATGGCGATATACTTGTCACGACAGTTGGGTAGAAAAACATTGCGCCCAGTTTTCTCGCTAAGTTCTTCAACACTCATCTGTAATCGTATTACTCAAACTGTCAGCAGTAATATCTGTTCTCCTATCTTTCACAGATCAGTAAGTTCTAATGCTGTGTAGGACTCGACGTTCATCTGATAACCAGCAATACATGATAGAGTGACTTCACTAGATTTAGCTGATCAAAGTCTGCAAGATCATGTAACGTAGTTATACTTTGGTACCACACACAAAGTGTTCTCTTAATATAACCGCAATGATTTTTGAAAGTGTATATTGAAATTCTGCCGTATACCGAATATTTTGATAGTGGTAGCCTAGAAAAAGTATTGCTCTTCTCCTCTGATAAAGCACAGTACTGTATCTAATTCATCTATAAGGACTTCAGAAACGTCATCATTCAGTTTTTACATCAAGTCGTACAATCAAAGTGCGATTACACTCACATTTAATGAATTGAATCATAGAGTGTAATATTCAAAATGCTGATGTCATGTAGGACACCTATATTAGAATTATTCACAGACTTACATTCTCGGAATAATCCTTCATCGAGATCTTTTTTGGTTATGTGCCCAAAAGTAACAGCCATGTTCAGATCGTGATGAAACCTAGCTAGCGATATATTGTCGGCAACTTGCTGATGAAAACGAAAGACGATTATATCGTTGGGAATCAGTAAATCTTCATCCACCAGTGACAATTGTCGAATAGCATAGCAATGGAGTAGTGGAATTTTGTCGATATCAATTGATACTTGGCGTATTTTTTTTTCATCAAGAATTTTCAGGAGTTCTTCATCGCTGAGAAGAATGCTCGAATGAAAGCGTTCATGGGCCTGTTGCTCTGGTTTAATCGGCTGTTCTGTCAAAACTAGTGTTTCCAAATTGAGCTTTGTTTTGAATTCTTCGTGGCTCGTAATCACACTAGTCAAAGCTGATTGAAGACGGCCAATAGACACTGAGTTGCTTTGTAGTATCAAAGCGTAAATCATATTGTAAATACTAGCTCCGAATTGTCTTTGAAGCAAATTTGTACTGAAAGAGTTAAATCTGAAGAGATAATGGATTAATAAATTCGCGCAGCCAATAAAAGACATAATAAAACTGATTGAGGTCAGTTTTAAAAAAGAAACCTATGAAACCGGAGATAGGGTTTTACCCATCTCGAATGATTGAAAAATTTTGATTTTCGACAATCCATCTTCAACATTCAAGAAATGGAGCCGAAACTTTTTCTCTGTAGCTAGTGGCACAATAATGCGCCGAAAAACTTCGTCCAGCCATTCTAAGAATTTCGATTATTCAATGGCCTGTTCATAGATTTCAAGAAGCGAGGTCCAATGCATTTTTTGATACAGCTGGTGGCTCGGAAGTGGGTCCTTAGATTTTTATAAACCATTTTGATATATCAGTTCTCTGACTTCATCTCTTCATCATTCGAGAGATGGACTCAAAATCGTTCTCTTGATATTGAGGGTCTAAAGAATGGAGTTTAAGCAACGATTGTGGATTGTTAACCACAAGTCGGTCACTAACAACTTTTTGATGCATAATTTTGAAATATACTTAACACGATTGATCTTGACATGGGCAACATTTTCCATGCAGTTGAAATAACGGTGAAATAGTATAAAAAATGTGTTCATTTGCCATACCCTTGAAACTTCCAAAACGGTTACAACAAAGGATCAATAACGATCGATTGGCGTTTCGAAACTTTAACACGTTGCCGACGTTTAATTTGCAACGCGTTTTTTTCACGGTTGTGAACGATAGTTTTTACAGATATCTATTTTTACACTTTGGTGCTACAAGAGGAATAGCTCTGCATATTCCCTACAAACTTTTAGCATTGGACCTACAATTTGATTGTTTTGAGAACAAAATTAGCACTTGCATTTCTAGAAGATAGAACATACGCCGCATCCAAACTAACTTCAAGCATTTTTCCAAGATGAATTCGCCTGCAAAATTTCTTAAGGCTTAAGAAAAACGCGTATTCGCCTCCTTCTAAGATCCTCTGAGTGGGCTGTAGGCAGCACTTTTGCCAATATTTTCGTTCAATTCTTAAACATTAATATGTTGTTACCTTGGCAGAAATGTGTACCTAACTCTGTCGATCGAGCTGATACGATAGAAGTTGAAAGAAAACATTACGAGAACTTATGATTCTCAAAGGAACCGGAAGGATTTTAGAAGTATTTGGAAACGAGTTATTTTAAAAAATAGCTCAAAAAAATATCCTTTGCATCGCTATGAAAAGTGCGGAAGCTAACGACTGGTGCAGGTTGAATGACCGCATTTTGCATTTTAATCTTGAATCGCTTAATACTTCGTATTAAAAAACCGAAATATGCCACAAGATGCAACGTGAAAAGCTTTACAATTTCCATAAAGCAGTTTTTTTCATAGTTGCACTTTTTGTTTTCGAAATCGGAAAAACTCTGAGCGATCAGGTATCAGCACTGGAATAAAGATGATTTTTTTTTCTACACGACAAATTCCTATTCCTATTCCTTCCATTAATTTGTTATATCGAAAGTCATAACCGATGGACAATTTTAGATCGATTGATATATGTTTTGATTACCTTTTACACTCTGATGTTATCTGTTAAAGGCACATACGAACTATATAATACTATATCCAATCTGCGTAAGTGTGTTAGTTGGTACAACGAAATGAAATTATAAACAATCTCGGATAGTCACTAAACCGTGCCGATCTTCATGTTTTCGTTTATTATGAATGGGACATTATCGCCAATAATAGACAATATAATAGAGTGGAACACCCTAACTCATGAATTAATAAAATAAAAAAAGGAATTCGTCGTGTACCAAAAAACGATCTTGTTCACAGCGTCGAAACAGAAGCTAGTCCATTTTGATAGCAAAAGGTGTATATATAAAACAAATTGATGTTTCTGTAAATTGTAGAGCTCTTCACAGTACATATGGTAGGATATTTTGTTCTTTTGTTAATAAAGCATATCAAGTGATGAAACGATGAAATAATAAAAAATGAATTTGTCGTGTATCAAAAAATTATCTTGTTCGCAGCATCGAATTTCCATCGCTCAGAGTTTTGTCGATTTTGAAAACAAAAAGTATAAATAAGAAAAAACTGCTTTATGGAAATTCTAAAGCTTTTCACACTGCATTTTGCGGTGTATTTAGTGTTTTATTACGAAGTATTAGGTAATTGAAGATTAAAATGCAAAATGCGACCAATCAACCTATCTCACCCGTTATAGGGGGCAACTGGCATAATCTTTCCTCTAGAAACCTGACGAAGTACTGGTCAAACAACCAGGTCTATGCAGATTAAAAAACAAAATGGTAGACGGTTCAAGGAGAAGCTCATTCACTGTAAAACAGCTCACAAATGTCGATCAATCGAAAAGGACAGGTGTCGTCCATCCATAAAACTGGGAAGAATGTGGATGGATGTGGATGTGGATGTGGATGTGGATGTGGATGTGGATGTGGGTGTGAGTGTAGTTCTCCTGATCCACACCCATACTCTAAAAACGGTTTATGTAATGTTAATAAACGAATAGTCAAGGTTGACTATTATTAACTTTTTTTTCACATTGCACGACGATACTTTTCTCTTCGTCAGTTTTAATGTTTATTCTTACTGGTAGCGTTGATGTATATACATCAAATACCAATCATTTGTTTTATGCAGACGATTTTGCACGTAGCTGTCAATCATCATCAATATGATGTCAAATAAACGAAATATCTCGCGACATTTTCAGGCTGCTTCAGTATAATGTCTGAATTTAGAGGAGTTTTTTAGCTGATCGAATTCGCTTTTTCGAGGGCATCTGAAACAATAGATTGGTCTTCTTTCTAGAAACAATTCACTTGAATGAAATTTTATGAACTACATAACAAGAATTCTTAGGCACGTACAAACAATAAACGAGCGCGTTTACATGCATGAAAGATCGAAAACGCTCCAAACTCGTCAGTATGTGGGTAATTCATTCGAAAGCATACTACATTTATATCGGTCTCAAACGCGTCAGATGAAAGTTTTTGACCTAATAGAACTTTAATATCTTGATCTCAAAAATCATCTTCAAATGTTTAAAATGGTGCTGTAGTAATTTTCCATTATTGATTCCAAGGGCATTTTCTGGCTAGGGAATCGTGGTTGAAACTAGGTTTCTAGAATTTATCTATTTTAAATGATAGGAAACTGATACTTTCAGAGTAGATACTAGCCAATGAGACAACTATTTCGTTAAGCCAAGCTTTTTTTGCTTGTATGTCTTCTTTGCATTGCAAGATTTTCTAGAAAAGACAATTTTTTCGATATGTCGGAAGCTCGATTTCTCTGAGAAGAGAAGAATATTTCTAATTATCAATATTCTATGTTTCAGAATCGCCTCTGAATTCATTCCTGCTTTTTACAAACGGCATGCGGACGGATACTCTTTCTTTCCTTATATAATATCACTACGTATAAAGTTTAAAGTTCATCTAATTCTATGTTAATTTTGAATCATGTTTTTGTCTCGTGATCGACGAAATTAATTAATTGATCCGGAAAGCGAAGAAATTTAAACTCAGAGATGAGTGAACGACATCTTACGTGGTCTACTTATCCTCAGCAACAACGGCAACAGAGTCAGAAACCAAGTTCTAATATAGGTCATCAAGGTCATTTCATTGTGCCTTCTTCACAACGACCACATTCAACTTCGGATGGTGATATGACGGAATACGAAGATTTTACTAATGATGCATCTACTAAAATTGTTCAACGTCGTCATAAACGAAAACAGGTTCAAATACATACACACAATCATAATACGAGACAAAATGCCAATCGACAGTCAAATCCACGGACAACAGTAGTTCAGTTCGACTCTACTCAGTTAAACCAGTCTATTCAGTCTACTCAATTTATTCAGTCTAACCAGCAACAGACAGGAACGATGACTGCTTTAACATTTAACAACGATCAATTAACTGAAGAAGCTGAAAGGTTTGCACGCACACGTTATCCATTTCCACCGTTTATTGTTCTTTTTCCATTATCTAATATAAAAGAACAGAAGGTATCAGATGAATTATGTAAACATCTGAAAGAGAATAAACATGTTCAATTGGAATTAATTGGATATCGTCGTTCGACTCTTAAATGTGCAGCAAATGAATGTGATATATTATTGTTTGTTAAAGACAGTCTCTCTTTCTCATTTTTGTACAAGGAAACGAACTGGCCGACCACACTTCTTGGATCGACCTTCATTAGGCTAAAGCCACCAAGTATTCTACCACAGTTATCCTTAATTATTAAAGGTGTCGGCTTGTCTATTAATATTGAACATTTAACCATAAAATTGAAATCAATGTTTAGTAGTTTAGAAAACGTTGTAAGAATGAAAAAAAGATTTCAACAAGAAATTATCTTAGTAAAATTAGAATTTAATAGCCCAGGGGAAAGAGAAAATCTTTTAAGCTATGGCAAATTGAGTGCTTGTTCTACTTCATTTGCCGTGGAAGCATATCTAGCTCAAGCTAGAGTTTTAATTTGCGGAAAATGTTGTTCGATCGGTCATTTTCGTCGTCAGTGTCGACAGAATGGTGAGACTTGTCGTAAATGTGGACAGACTGTCTCTGATATAAAACAGCATTTCCCTTTATGCTCAAAACAACTATATTGTATACATTGTAAGCAAAATCATGCTAGCGATGATATGAAATATAGTGAAGTTGAAAAGTTCAGAGCTGATCGTACATGTCGCCTATTAAATAGTAATAATAATCTTGCACCTGTTTTTTCGTCTCCTGCTTACTCGCATGATCAGTCAAATTTTCCACAACTACCTCCAGCTCAGAAAACAACAGTTACAAATTCATCCCCTGCGCAGAGTGCAGAAATAATAAATAAATTATATAAGATAAATACGATAATTTTGAAATTGAATGATAAAATAGAGAAATTATCGCCTGAATTTGAAGGAATGAGAAAGTCGAATGAAGAGTTGAAACGGAACGTTTTGATATTGTCTATGGAAAATCAAACGTTTAAACCCAGAATTAATGAAAGTGAAGAACTGTCTAAGGATATTTTACTCCCATTCTGTCGGGATCCGATTAAATTTGTTAGAGAGAAGAATACAAATAATGGAAGACATTTGAATGAAACACTACATTCACATCTGGAAATTTACGGAGCACGGTTAAATAATATTGTGGAAGGTAAACAATTTCTTAAATGAAACTGTCGCCCTTTGCTGTTCCTTTTTTTTTCTTGCGCAACTGAAAATAGTTTTTATGTGAGAGACAACAAGTTGAAACAAGCGAGTGAATATTTGAGCCGTTATGATTTTCTTATGTTTCAAAGCATCTTGCATGAATGGGAGAGTACTTCTCTTCTATCGGGTTTGTTTAAAGAATGGGAAAATGACGTCAAATCGGATCTCTATTCTATTTCTAATTCCTTAAATGTTCTGTCGTTTAATGTAAGAGGTCTGGACCTTAGAGTCGAAGAAATTTTTATGTTGTCTCTCTCATTCAACTTTGATATAATGGTTCTTTTGGGGTGTGGGTGGGTGTAGATGTAGGAGAACGAATACCAACACACCTACATCCAAAGTTGTTTTACTTAGTGATCGGTTTTGTTTTAAGCCCTAATAAATCTCAGGATTTAATAGTAAATTCAGAGGTGATTCTAAAACATAGAATATTGATAATTAGAAATATTCTTCTCTTCTCAGAGAAATCGAGCTTCCGAAGTATCGAAAAAATTGTCTTTCCTAGAAAACCTTTCAGTGCAAAGAAGACATACAAGCAAAAAAAGCTTGGCTTAACGAAATAATTATCTCATTGGCTAGTATCTACTCCGAAAGTATCAGTTTCCTGTCGTTTAAAATAGAGAAATTCTAGAAACATATTAGTTTCGATCAGGATTTCCCAACCAGGAAATGCTTCTGAAATTGATACTCAAAAACTACCACAGCACCAGTTCAAACATATTAATGTAATTGTAGTACCTTTCCCAAAGAGTTACTCACATTCTGACGAGTTTGGAACACGTTAAAACCTTCAATGAAAACTGTAGTCGTTGGAAGCTCTAATTCATAATGACTACTAAAAACATTCATCTTTATGGTGCTATTTGTGTCGCATATTTCGAGGTGCTTTTACTACGTTCAATATTTTTACGCGTTCATTACATGCTAAACTTTGAGTTTTTTAAGGTTTGGAAGTCATTTAACAGCTTTAACGCATTTTTCACATTAATATTTTCAAAACGAGCGATCGGCGTAAATAAAAGGTAATGATTCTATGCACCAAGGTTCCTGCAGTGATATCATAGTGACTTCATAGTTTTTTTCAGTTTTGTTTCGATTGCGAGACACTCCTATCGGTTAGATGTCATCATCTGTCAATATATTTCGAACTAAGCCATTAAAATTTTATGGTAATTCATCTATTTTTTCAAATTTGAATAACGAACAAAACTTTTATTTATAGTTCTTGAATACATTAGTAGATAATAAAATATGACCTACATGACAGCAATATTGGACGCAAATATAACTAGCACGGCTAAGAATTCATCGTGCAATCTCCCAAGAAAACTAGAAGTGCAAAATCAGGGCTTTTTCTTTACATAGGTATCTTAATTGAAAATTTCGAACTTCTAGTAACGTGTGAAGTTGTGCAGAAATTTACTCCAGATAAATACTTTTCAACTTATTTCTACACTTTGTTTAAGACGAATCGATATGTGAATAGAATTGCGTAATAGTTATCCGATATCATTACTCTTTTTCTAATTATGTTCGATAACGAGAACAGACGAAATTTACAGATGCCTGAAATTTACTTGCTTTTGTTAATAACTCAAAGAAATAAAGAGTAACTGACGGAGTTGCTTGACCTCAAATATATAACCCACTGGTTTATTTTGAGGCAAAGATTTTTTATGGGTTTAGACGACATCAGTATATCGACCTATCTATCATCCACATTAAACTCTTATTAACTAAACACAAGACGAAGCGATCCATGGTCGTATGAGAAAAATATTTAAAAGTAGCAAGTTGCGATTGAAATGAAAAACAAGCGGGAGGAAAGCAACTTCAATGCAGGTATAAGAAGGAAAGAGAGGTCGAGAAGAAGTAAAAATAAAAACAAAATGACTTAAGAGAATAGCAAAATAGATGAACGCGAAAAGAAATGGTTCATAGACTCAAAAATCAAAAGAAAATCAATTATTACAAACGTGAGAAAAACGAAAAACAAATATACGTTTTAAAATCTTTAATGTTCATCGAACACTAGATATTGATCTTTTTAGCTCTGAAATATCTGCCCATGGTGATAAGGATCTGGTTGAAGAGAGGACACTAATCCACGGATACCTACACTCACATCCGACTCTATTATCTTTCACATGTACTCTTGTGCAATAAAAAGTTCGAATTCATAAGAAAGCAAATAATGGATTGAGCAATAATGCTTAAAGAAAATAATTAGACTACTTTGGGCATTTATAGCAGTTTTTAGAAGAAGAAAGTCATGATTGTAAATGTTTATCACCACGACTTAGGTCAAAATAATTGATTTAGAAAAGCGTTTCAAAGGTCATCCAATATAAATCACAGTTTGAAACGCTGAGTGAAGTGTTGAAATAGCAAGAAAAGTAAATGCCATCTTTTTCGCTATGTGACATTGTTTTTCAAGTAGAAAAGGGAGGATGTTCTCGTATCGTATAAACGGTATTCTGACTGGTTCGCTTCTTCGAGGAAAGTTAGATTCAAAATATGGCAACAGACACTGCTTTCCCTGTCGATATACAAATCGAAAATCTTATGACCATCGAGCTTGAACTCAACTACCCGAAATACTTAGGGTAGTCCAAAAGTAGTGACAGTGACACTTTAATACCGTATAGTAAGCTTTAAGAAACTTTCTCTGTATATAGACTGATAGAGAAAAGAATGTTCTATTTTTCTATTCTATTTGATCATACTTCAACTAATATCATGACAATCAAATTTCGATAACATCTATTTTTCTATCATATGTGACGGTTATACTAATGCCTATTTAGTGGATATGATCA